GCTTTTTTACAACCATAAAAGCTTACTTATATCACAGGCTCCATCACCCTGTTTCATCCCTCCACCAGTACTGGAATCATAATGAATGCATCCAACGATTCACCACCGGAGGCCGACATGGACGCCTGTTTCTCCGACCAGCGGCAACATGACCAACCAAACTTACCCTTGCTACTCCGACCATCCTACTCCAGATCAAAATCTTCACTCCTTGACGAGCTCCGCACCTTCCGGGTAAGCCTCAAATGGTGCGCACTGGACCACTCCTCCTGTATTGGTAAATTCATCTCATATTTCATGTTCGTCTTCTTCACCATTGTAGTTCCCATCACAAGCTCCCTCTCCGTTAAACTCTCCCCCTCTTTCTCTTCCTTCAACCTCCTCGTTCAATTCCCGGAATCGGGCTTAGCTCTGTTAGGATTCTTCACACTCTGCCGCTTCTTCAGAAAATACGAGTTGAGGCAACTCCTGTTTCTCGACGGATTACAGGACGATTCCACTTTTGTCTGCCGCGGGTACACCCTAGAACTCGATAAGGTCTTCCGTTACCTGACATTCATACTTCTCCCATCATTTTTAGTTGAGCTTGCTCACAAGATAATCTTTTTCTCCTCCGTGAAAATAAGATTGCCTTATATCAACCCCAGCGTGCCCCTGAATGCAATCATGTTCTTTTTGGTACTAGGATCATGGGTTTACAGAACATGGGTGTTTCTCTTAGTGTGCATACTGTTCCGATTGACATGTGAGCTGCAGATTCTGAGGTTCCAGGGACTGCATAAGATGTTCGAAGGATGTGGGTCTGATGCAGGGGAGATATTTCAGGAGCATAAGAGGATCAGGAAGCAGTTGTCCATTACAAGTCATAGGTATCTGTTTCTAATCTGACCCTGGATTAAAATTTTAGAATTGATAAACACTAAAGTCGGTTAAGCTCCTGTCGTTACAGGTACCGGTTCTTTATCATTGCATCTATGGTGGTGATTACAGTGAGTCAATTTGCGGCATTGTTGCTCGTTCTGGCTTCAAAATCGAAGAAGAGTTTCTTGAATTCGGGTGACCTGGTGGTGTGTTCAGCGGTGGAAGTCAGCGGATTCTTCCTCTGCTTGCTGGGTGCTGCGAGAATCACACACAGAGCTCAAGGGATGGCCGCCGTGGCAAGCAGATGGCACATGAGCGTCACAGCTGCAGGAACAAGGCAGGAGAAAGTTCGTCACCGGGATGCCGCTGATGATGCCAACATGCTGTCATCTTATAAAGGCGACAACAGCGACTCAGATTTATCGGATATATTCATCACAATTGCCTCATCACAAGATCCATCCTACTTCCAAACTAGACATGCTTTAGGTCAGTTTGTTGAAACATTACTCCATTTTTCCTTGTAATGGGCTGTTTTCGACTTCTCTTATAATTATGATTGATAATAATATGGTTAATGATTTATATTTTTCTTTGTGTGATTTATAAACAGTGTCATATTTGCAACACAACAGCGGGGGAATCACACTTTTTGGATTTGCTCTCGATCGAGGACTGCTTCACACACTCTTTGCATTTGAGTTCTCATTAATGATGTGGGTTGTAAGTAAGGTGGTGGTTTTGTCTTAATTAGCCCATATCCCTATTCCCTCAATATATAACACCAATTTTTTTGGTGTTAGCACAAGTACCCTCATCAATTTGAAGTTGCTACTTATCTGCAGACTAAAAAAAAAAAAAGGAAATTGCTATTTAGATGTGTAATAACAGATTTATGTTGCTCCTAATGGAACTACATAGTAATTTTCATGATTGAAGCGTGATGTAATTTATCAATGAATCAATTATCATAATCTTAGTGTATCTTGAATGCAAATTATACTTCTTGATCAATGTTTTACTTCATTTTCTTTTCTTTGCTTGTATATATCAAAATAGATCATACAATAAAAAGATAGTCTTCGTACCAATTTTTATAACATCTAGGAATTGAACTCGAGATTTTTATGTTTTTAACAGTAAGGAGATTTTGTTAAGAGTACACGTTCAGGTATTAGCAATTACATCTTTTTCTCCTAATTAATTAGTTAAGTAAATAAATTTTAGCCACATTGCCAATCACAGGACTCCATGGCCCAATGGATAAGGCGCTGGTCTACGGAACCAGAGATTCTGGGTTCGATCCCCAGTGGAGTCGATTAGTTGTGTTTCCTCTTTTTCCAGCTTGACAGACCCGAACGGGCTTTGCGATTCCATCCAGTGGGTATGGCTGGGCTCGTCATGTTTTAGTCAGGACTTTAAAAGGCTTCCCAGGCCTGCTCAGATTCTGGATCGTTTTATTTTTGGGCCTGATGAAAATAATTGATAAACGGGCTTACTTAAGCCTTTTTCTTTTTCGCAACTTGAGCTCCTTTGTATTTTGTTTGAAAAATGTAATTATGATTTCTTTTCTCTTGTTATGGTTAGGAACCCATCAAAACTTCGATGAATTTTTTATGCTTAAATTACATAAACATATATTAATTGTTAGTATTATTTTTTGGTACGATATCAATTGTTATTGGTTCATTATATATATATATATAAAGCAATGATATTCATATAATTTTTGCACAACTTTTACTTTTACGTATTATTAAATTAATAAGTATATATAATATTATGAATCTTAATAGTTTAAAAATAATTATTCATTAAATAACACATGAAGTTGTATAAAAAATTATCTTCCAATAATTTTTCTAAAAGAACATAGTTAAGATTTGGTAAGTAATGAGAACAGCACCAATGCGGGGCTGGCTTTTACCTTTAAAATTAATTTAGGAGCTTATGCGTTAATATGGGAAAAGTTAAAGACCTTAACACGGGGTTTTGCCTACCAAAAAATAAACATAATCAGAGATTCAGAATCAGATTACCGTCTAGATTCAGTGGACCCGGGTAGTTAAGTAACCGTAACAGCAATTCGGCACTGCAACGCGGAGCAACGCCCACAACTTGCGACCGTGCTTGCTTAATATGACCAGGTTCAATGACCTTTGACCCGTCCATGATGCATGATGCATGA